GAGAGAGAGAGAGAGAGAGAGAGAGAGAGAGAGAGAGAGAGAAACAGCCAGAGCAGACGCCATAAGACGCCATCAGCGAGTGTTGCTGTGGGCCACGGCGTAGCCGTGGCGGGTTCCACTTGTTGTTTATAAAGAAAGAAGGGGAGAGTCGCCTAGTCCGGGCCACCCAACCAGGCGACTGGGGCGAACCTGCACAAGGGGGGAAACCGCCTGGGGTATCCTGGCGACTTCAAAAGGAGGATCAATTTTTCAAAAAAAAGAATTTGGACAGTGGGGCAATTTTGCACCCACTGAGATGTGCCCAAATCCGGACTGGCCTTTGAATTTGGTGATGTCTCACCAAAGTGGGGCACAAAGGGGCTCAAAGGGGTTTAAATGGGTGTAAAGGGGTGTGAATCCGTGTGATCACTGTGATATAATTTAATGTTTTGTTTTTATTTTTTATTTCAAATTCTATAAGGAATTTATGGGTGACCCTCAGCCAAAAGTCGTTTGATTTGCCATTCTAACACCCAGGTTGTTGTAGAGGCAGGGTATCAGGCGAGGGAATACTCTCTGGGGTTCAGTCACTCGAAGTTCGGAATGACCCACTTGGCCCGCTGGACCTTCCTAGACGGAGTCCTCTACGGGATTAGAGCCTTAAGTCCTATCGCAAGTCGTGTCCCTTCCACACGATACAGCTTGCCACCAGAGATCAGATGTCTGTCCCCACAGATCCAACCTCCAACTAGATGTATTGCAGGCCCACTCTAAGCAGCTTTGTCCCCCAACAAATGGTTTAGCAGATCCCTAGCCGATCCCCCCTCGGACAGGCGTAGAGGGCCTACCTCCCTCCTATTAACGTACAGTACGCCCCCCCCCTTGATCCATCTATCGTACCCACTACTCAGGAGACGGGCTTAGTACGAGTCCTACCCGAGCTACACTTTATCGGCGTCCTCTCTACTAGTCCTTCCAGCCCCTATACCCATCTCATAGTCTCCCTTTGCTTGGTCCCTGGTGGGCCTGAGGACCCTGATGACGGGGCTATGAGAGTACCCGAATGTCTCTACACTGCCTAGAGATGACCAGCCAGCCAGGTGGTCCTACTCCATGAGACAAGCATCGACTCGCACCTGCTGGTCATCAGGCAGACTCTAACTACTTGGACTACCCCAGGTAGTATTTCTAGCTACTACGATGTGATTTCCCACCCACCCATGCAGTCTCCGCAGGTGGCTCATTGTGAAGGTGCTTCCTGATTGTGCATAAGGAGAAAAAACGACAGAAGGCTGGTTGTCTTTGTCATCATTTTTCTGTCCAAACCATTTCTTAAACCACCAGTATGTTTCCCAGACTTTGTTTTTTGCCTGATACCACACGCCACAACTTTCGGGGACCTAGGCGTCCTTATGTACACTATGTACGAGATGTATGCAAGTGTACATAGGGCCTCGCTGCACTACTCTTGAAAGGTGCAAAACGAGAGTGAATCTTCCTCTAGATCATGGAAAGATACAGCGACATGATTCTTGTCTTTTGTGCATTTCAAGAGTAGTGCAGCGAGGCCCATAGTGTACAACGCAAGCCCCTCCTGTCCTACGCTATGTATGCGCGTTTTTTTTTGTGAAAAAAGGGTTTTTTTTTTTTGGTTTTTTTTCCGGGTCTGATGCGGGTTGAGCGGGGGTGCACACACAGCAAGAACGATCTGCAGTATTGAAGAGGGCAGAAACTGACCTGATCAGCAGAGACGCCCGTGTTTCAATTTCTTTTACTTTATTTTTTTAATATATATATATTTTTTTGGGGGGGGGTACGGGAGGGGCTGTCTTCGCCCTCCTTATCACAAATTTTTGTTTTTTTTGGGGGGGGGTACGGGAGGGGCTGTCTTCGCCCTCCTTATTACAAAAAAAAAGAAAAAGCTCTCTCTCTCTCTCTCTCTCTCTCTCTCTCTCTCTCTCTCTCTCTCTCTCTCTCTCTCGGTGACAAACGGGAATGCCCCAATGCCGAACAGGCAAAACAGGACAAAAAGAGTATTTTTCAAAAAAAAAAATGAAAAGGTGAAAAAATGCTAGTTTTTTTTTTTTTTYTTTTCTTTTCCTACGAACTAGACAACATGGTCTACCACCCTATGTTTTTTTTTTTTTTTGGGCGGCGTAAATCCTGCGAATGATTCATTCGCAGGTAGCCTACAAACGAGTACAACACAGGATTTTGTACTCGCGTACAACGCGTTGTACGTGAGTACAATTTGTTTTTTTTTTTGTTTTGTTGCGAGACAGATATAGTCGGTGACTGGAGCCGCCTTTGATTTTGTTCAATCATCAGCGGTGGTTTTCTTCACTTCACGTCTTCACTTCACTACCTACTAGTGCACAGAGAGAGCTGTTCAGAAGTATGAAGAACGCTTCAAAAACTTGAAGGAAGGGAAAAGAAAGAATGATAAGAATCCCAAAGACTACATAAAAAAAAAAAAAAAATAAAGGTAACAAAAAAGGGAGGTGGAGAGGAAGGAAAACAGAGAGTAGACAGGGAGGAGGAAAGGGGGGGGGGGGGGGGGGGGAAGGGAATGGAACGATAATTACGATAGTCTCATACAGAAAAGTTTTTTTCTTTCTTTTTTGAACAACTTTCAATTAAATCCGGGAAGCAGGCCCGACGTCCCTCACATGAATACTGCAGTCAAATGGGGCTGAGAGAGGTACTCCCGACCAGTCCCATCCCCAACCACAGCCATCCAACAGCTGAGCCCCTGGCCCCCCCAGCACAATAAGGCCCAAGTTGTAAAAATAGAACAAATGGCAAATAAAAACCAAAAAGGCAACCTTCCTATAATAGCAACCCTATCCTTTTTTAATTGCAACCGTCCAAACGGTCAACTAATCAACTTACTAATCAACTTACTAATCAATTACTAATCAACTACTCAAACAGTTCAAACCACATTTCGATGCGCTCTGGTAAGATACAACCCTCTCCTATGTAATTGTCTGAACTCCCAGTACCCAATGATCCACTATAGTAACCTTTTTTTTTTTTTACTATAGTAACCTACCCTGATACGTAGTCATATACTTCTCCCTACCTCAGTGAATAGCACATATGTACACAAAATTGAAGTTCAACTTTACTCTACATCACACTTTCAACATGTCACACAAAGAAGTTAGAGAAAACCAAAATGGGGAAGACTCCCTCCTGCAAGGTAACAGTACACAGGCCATCGAAGGCTCCCCATCTAGTACAGAACCATTTCACTGCTTTGGCCGTACAACCTTTCTTCTGCACCCGGAGTTCCCAATCTGCCGATATTGCCAATTTGATATTGTATTTAACCGTTGCCCTGATGGTTAGGATGGCCTCTGCACATGGATTTAAATGCAGGTGATGAATAGATTTGGTTAACAGGCTGAACAGGGGGACAAAAGGGGGGAGGAAAAGGTTCTGGTGCTGAACCGTGCTGATGCGTATTCCATGTTTGTGGGCGTAGATTGTCGAAAAAGAACAATGGCCAAAACTCGGGATTCTGGTGAATCTTTGGAAATGGGATCTTGCCCGCAAGTGTGCAAAACTTGACCAATTTCCGATTGCTATTCCTGTAAATCTGTTTTCTGCATTGGTGTATCAACTTGCAAGTATTCTCACATTTGAAATTTCAAATTACTAAATTAGTAATTTACCACATCTTTCAAAATTCAAAAAGATATTTTGTCTTGTGCTTAAGAGCAAGACGAGATTGGCATGGCGTATGGGCAGGTAGTTCTCAGCATACCTGCATAAATCCGATACGCAGGCTCCTGGGACTTACTTTGCAGTGTTCGCAGGGGGGCTGGATAGCCACAAGTGGTTAACAGGGACCCCCACACCCCACTTTTCAGCCCCAGCTTAAACCCCCCCAAGACTGAATCAATGAAAAGTGCATTTTGGGATAATTGTTTTCAGGTTTTTTTTTTTTTTTTTTTTTCCCTGTTTCATCTTTGGTCAAGGTCTGCGTGTGCCAAGTTTTGGTGTTTGTTGGGGTCTTGGAGATCGACTGTTTTGGCCAGCCCGGAAAAAGCCTGGAAAATTTTGGGCTCTGTTAACCGCTTCTCTGGTTAGCATGCTTGCATGAAGTGGTTTCGCAGGTCGAGACCTCCTTTGCAGACACTGGATGGATCGACAAACCTCGCGAAATGCTTTCGCGCAGTTGGGCGTGCTGATGAACCCGTTGTATGCTTCTCGATGAGCCAATCATTTCTGTGGCCTCAGGCTGACAGCACCTCGTCTCACCTTGTTCACTTCAGGGGTAAAGCTGATGAAGATGCGGAGGAGAGCTCGCGAGGAGGCGTGCTTCAAGTGCCAAACACTGAAAGAAATGAAGGTCCAGACTTTGCAATCCTTCCCCAACCCCCACTCCCCACCCCCCACCCCAAGCCCATACAGGACCATTTTGATCTGCTACATTTGGTTATGTCCATTCTTTTCTTTTCTTTCTTTTTTTTGGGGGGGGGGTAAGGGGGTTGGAAAGGGGGGACTAATGGTCATTACTGTGATGATAGGGCCATACTAATTTTGGGCCTCGCCGAACGGCTCAGGAAACGAAAGTTCTGTGTGTGAAATGATCGGTTTTTAACTTTGTACTGCGCTGCAGAGCACAACGATGACTCTGCAAGAAAAGTGTTTCGTCACTTTCGTGAGGTGTCAGGGCATGTTCGTTTCTCAGGTCGCGTGTGTCAGACTGGCCCCTGCCTGCACATTCATGAATTTTGGGGGTGCTCCTTCAAAGGGAGGATGGAGCCGCCCCCATCACACGCCAGTTGTAGCATGTTTCTTTCTTTCCTTTTTTTTTTTTGAGTTGAATATGTTGCATGTCATTCCATAAACGCTCAGCAGCATGGCCGTCTTCTGCCTCTCGGGCTCCTGTGCGTGCATTTGTGTCGGATTTTGCAAGGGCCATACCGGGCCCAGTGCAAAAACGAAGTTTCATAATTGTCAACACCTTCGTGACAGCCCGGGGACTTCAGGTTTGCTTTGGTTCGCTTCGCGCACAGTGCGTTGGGCGGGGCCCTTCTCTGTATTGGCATCACTCCAATTTAAACAGATGTCCCGAGGGAGTTTTGTTTGTTTGTGTGTGTGTGGTTTGTTTGTTTGTTTGTTTATTTGTTCGTTACCTTTGTTTGTTTGTTTGTTTGTTTGTTTGTTTGTTTGTTTGTTTGTTTGTTTGATTTGTTTGTTTGGTCTTGAGTGGTATCATTTTTCAAGTTTTGCGCTCCATTTTAAAGCATATTTATTATTTAGTATTTTACGTAGTTGTGGCGCACCACGGTGCGCCGGTTTGCGCACGCGGCGCACCCTCGCGCCCCGCACATCAAAAAATAGGGGGCATGGAAAACAAAATAATTTTGAGGTTTTTGTGCAGATGGCGGGCCCCCACCCCGGCAAAAATGATGGCCGGGCCGCGTGACTCGGGAAACCGGCCGCGGCCCGCCTCCGGAAATGTTTTTGGGGGAAGGGCCTGCCGTATTCCAAAATTTGAATTCGGCAGGCCCTTTCCCCAAAAAACGTTTTGGAGAAGGGGGACGGCCGTTTTCCAGAGTCGCGCTGGCGGCGGGAAGCTGCAGCAGTCAGCGGCGGGAAGCGGCAGCGGGCAGCGGGGGCAGCGGCGGGAAGCGGTAGCCGGCAGCCATGAAGGTGGGCGCCCACCACACATCTCTCTCTCTCTCTCACACACACACACACACACATGTAGTAGTGTATACTTCCATGTTCTAGCGGAAGATTCATTCAATTTTGCTCATCCTATCGATGGAACTAGCGTGAGGCCAGCCGTGGGGTTGGAGACATACCTGTTGCGTTGCTCATCCTATCGACGGAAACTCTCTCTCTCTCTCTCTCTCTCTCTCTCTCTCTCTCTCTCTCTCTCTCTCTCTCTCT